AACAATCACAGTCAATCTCATCACCTCAATGACATGCTGTGAATGTAATTAATCCTACATTTATTTAGAGAACTTCACACCCTACACATAGAGCAGCAACTCCCTGCTGGCTTCAGACTCGGTAATTATGTTGTAACAAGGACTAGGTTTCGATTATAACAAAAAGATGAAAAGGAAAACAGCCCTATGAAGCTAGCCTATCTTTTAGGGCATGTCTCACCTGCAAATCAAGAGAAGCAAATATAACACACTTAGAGTATCTTTAGCTTTAATTTAGTTAGTTCAAATAAAGACAGCAGCTTCTAGAGACTGTATGAAGGCCACCAGGAATCCTGGGTTTTACTTTAGAGCAAGTAGTCCGTGTTTGAGCTGGCATGTTACAGCTACAGTCACCAAAATTAGCAAGATTACATTTGTGTCTGGTTAGGGAGCACATACACGTGGAGGTGTGACTCCACAGCACCCTTACATTAAAGCAGCCTTTACACCAGTGTAACAAATCAGGTTGCAGATACAGTTCCATAGGACCCGCTGAGGAATTTAACAGCTCATCTCTTATCACACAGATCTCCTTTACTGCAGGAGTTGAAGCTACTACAATACACAACACAAATAATGATTATACAATTTTTTGCAGTAGAACAGGTAATGAATAAAAGGTGAGATAGTAAGTTAAGGAGGAGAAAAATAGCGATAATGAAAACCATAATACAAGTTACATGGGATCAAACACATTCTGGCATTCCTCATTCCCATAAAACTTTGAGAAGTATACAACTATGTGTAAGTATAACCCCTGGAAAACTGCCAGGAACACTAACAGCTTCACCTCCAATTCAGGAACACAGAAAACATGCATTTACCGATAACTAAATTAGTACATGTTTAAAACTAAACATGTACTTAAATGTCAGGTAAAAATATTTTAAATCAGCATGGGCTCCATTGCTCCCTCATGTAGGGATGTACAACAGGGGACAACAAAAAGCAACGTGAACGGAGACTGGCACAAAGGCGAGTTCAAAACACTGCAGAAGGACATCAGGCTACACAAAGGAACCTCAGCACAGCGAGAGTCAGTGGGTAAACTACTCTGACTTCTCTAAAGGACACAACTCCTGTGGGGTCACAGACAAGTAACTCCCCTATGGCAGAAGGGAAAAAGCTCTCCTGCAACAAACCCACCCCCAGATTCCCCCGGTCTCAGCAGCCCACGTTGCAGCTATCAGACAACCAGGGTTTCCCCAAAGCTCCTTCTCCTCTCCTGCATCTCCTTCTGCTCAAAGTAAGGTGTGAAAGATGGAGAAAAGCTCAGACTTGTAATACAAATTCAGTTATAACTTCACCTTGGAGAGGCTGCCATATGTATCAGAGTGGTATGTAAAATCGCTGACCTCAAGAAAAAAAGTATGCAAACCAGACAAATTAAATTTAGTTTTATTATGAAAATGAAAGTAATAACAGAAGTGACAGCAGGGTGGATGATAAGCTCACTTAGCAGAGGGATCAAATGAAGTGATGACATGTCATTATGACCTCAGGGGTTAAAGATGCAATTTTCCATCTGGCTGCATCTGGCTTTTCAACATCAATGTTGACACCACCTGCTGAGATTTACTACAAGCTGCCTCCATAGGTCTTTGTCTAGCTTTTCTTACCCAGGTTAACATGTACTTTTCCCTCTTTTCTAGTAAGTTTTGCCGAGCAACATGCTCCCTTTCTTCAAAACCTAATGAACAGCTAAATTTAAGGGGTTTACGTGCCACTTTATACAACAGACCAAATTATTAATAGTAACTTCACAAGCAGCTCAGAGATACTGGAAATGTAGAAAGCAAGTAAAACTAGCTTTAAGATTGCAAACAGGAAGATGAAATTTTAGCTGCACTTGCTAATATCTTGCACTGCCTAAGACTTCTAGGAATCCCGTTTTCTCTTAGTAACAGGTACCTGAATAATTTTTCTGTTAAAAACAGAAATCATTTTTGTTTCAAAAAAAGATCCTTAGAATTAAAGAACTAGCTTGTACTCACCATACCCAATTGACTATTAGCCACCTGCATGCATGTCATTCAGCAGCTTAATCATTTCCAATTCCAGATACATTGTGCTTAAAATAAATCCTCTTTTGCCAGCCCAGTGACACATGGACTTATTCATCTAATTCAGCCACAGCCAAACTGCGATCTCAAACCAAATCTGCAATCAGCTCCTGACACACTGTTGGCTATAAGGTGGTTGTTTCCACACCGAATATTTAAAAGCTAGTACCTACCAGTGGCATTCCCCTCCTGGAGGCTGAAATCTGGAATAGGACTGCATGCTTACTACCACTGGATACATCCATTACACTTTTGCCTGTGCCAAACTTTTTTTCCTAAACCTGCGGCTCCAAGACTTTTCGCTGCCAGTACAGGGAGCTAAAAAGCTTGCTTCCAGCTGTTTTTAAAGCGCCCGGATTCTTCATGAAAAAGAACCTACAGTCTATTTGAAATGTTTAAACAAAGAGCCCCCAACCTCCACTAGGACTTGGTTACATATCAGAGAAAGAGGGGAAGAAAAGAAAAACCCTCCACAGATTTTGAGAGCGTCCTGGGACTACAGCTATGAAAAGATAGGAGAAAATGCAGACAAAGAAAGTTAACGAAGCTTGCACGGAGCAAAGAATAGCTAAGAAACAAAACAGAGAAAGTTCCAGACTGATTAGACATGCAAATAACTTTCTAGAAAGAACACCACAAGACTATCTATGAACACCTTCCCCTCCCCAAACTCTTTCGCCACAAAGGCAATTACCAGAGGGATGTCACGACCCTCTTCCCCTGGAATGGAAGATGTACCACCCTCCTCTCCAGATGCCTTAACTCACCTTGGAGAGCTGGGAACCTTGTCCTTAAGACAAGTCACCACCCATTTCTGTATCTGTTATGGTATTTTCTGAATGATAAGTTAACATGGTTCCCTTCAACATAAAGGAAAAAAACCAAAGTGCTCCTGTTCACTTCGCACCTGCTTAACTTCAAGCACATGCTTCACTGCTGAACTGAAAAGGAATGACTTAAGCCTATGCTTAAACGCTTTCCTGATTCAGACCCTAAAAATAGGAGCTGTTTCTGCAGTTCCTCTTTCTCTTGTTCTCCTAATGACAGACGACTATTGTGCCATGTCATTATGACAATAAGATAGCTTAATTGCCCTCTTTCCAGAAGCTGTCAGTTCTGCTTAACTGGTACATAATGTATGCGTCTGGGAGTAAATGTGTTAATGTATCAGTCACTTATATCTTACATACATTTTCCTCCGCTGTATTTAAAGAAAGCCTTGGGTTTTATGACTTAACTTGCTAGACATTATATTCATTGATATGGGCAGCAGTGATATTACTGTCTTATGACTCATTTCTTTGTGAAAGATGCATGAAATAACTTTCTCCTCCTTCATTTACTGCGCTTTTTCAACTCGACTTCAACCTGAACATAAATTTCCCCATACTTGTATTTAAGGTGTGGCCAAAAAAGCCCTCCTCAAAAATGATAAAGTGAACTGGCTATTCCTGTAACTAACCAGGATTGACGAATCAAAATGTTTGGAAACACCTGTAACTGCTTTAGAATATTTTGTGCATTGTCACCTATAGGAACACAGTTGTTGAAAGCACACACAGAAGAATACGAGTCGACAATATCTACAACACATAATAAGCAGCTACAAACTGAAGCCCTTTAATTCTCCAAGAAGTACTGGTAAGGCCACACCTCAATACACAGCCTATGCAAGCTGGCTCAACTCTCTCATATTCCCCTTTCTGAGCATGACTATTACCAAGCTCCCTCTACATCCCCTCACTGCTTCTTGTGTCTTGTGCACTTAAGAAGTTATTTTTTTCTCCCACAGTCTCTTCTTAAATTGTGAACTGGAATGCAAAGACTACTTTTAACTGCTGTTTCATGAGTCTGTATGTTGCTATATTAACAAATATGACAACATTTGTTATGTTTATACTAGTAATGCCTTCCTTCACAGAGAAATATTACTTCCAACTCATACACGTATTTTTGTGGGCCTTCAGAGAAGGCTGTGAAGACATAAAAAGGGAGGGAGAAAAAACAAAAGCTGTATGAAAAATAGAATAATTCTGACAAGAACAATATAAAGCTGAGTAAGACCTGAACATGGAGCTTTCTTTGTTCATTTAATTCATTTCTCACTGTTTTCCTCCCAATACTTTTGTTTTCAAACCATTAAAGCATGTCGATACTTCCAACCAGTCTGGGTGAAAGTTCCCAAGACTCTGGAAATAAGTAAAGCCATAGTGAGTCCATTGAAAGAGCAGAGGTGAGACACACAACTGCTGAAGTGCAGGGACTTTGGAAGTGGTAGAGTCACCATTTCCTCTCAAGTGAAGTGGAAGCCAAAGCATATGGCCAGGGACAGCGAGCTGGCAAGAGTACACAGCACACAGATTTGTGACACTTACTCTGGTGTTAATAATCAATTGGTACAACTGCTACAGTCCATAAATCAGCTGTTTCACACACATGTAAATGGTTTGTATTTGCTCTGTCCAGAATTGGAAGCTGTCAATTCTACTGGAAGATATAAATTCAATCCTGAACTAGGAATTGTTTCCAATCTTTTTCCTAATGTTACCTAAGTCCTGTATAAACATTCTTCTTCCTAAGAAAGATCACAATAGAATGAAAATTCCCCAAGAGCTGTTTTTTCCCCTCAAAACCGTTAATATATTAATGAGAATGCGTGTTTTTATTTAAAACGCAATTCCTCCCTCTCATCTCCAGTGATGGCACTACACTAAGAAAAATGCACCGAATGCCTTTGTTTATGTAGTAAGAACAGCTGGATAGGCAACATTACTAAATGAAAGACCTATAAATGGAAGTGTGATCGGAGATAGCATTTCTTTTGATTTTACCGATACTGGCTCATAGATAAAGTACGCTACAAACATTTCCCACATCAATATCTACTTAAGACCTTACTTGGTTTTCTGAATCCAGATGCAATAGTCCGTAATGAAGAGGTCATTAAGGATGTAGGCAGGGTCATTCTCCATAAATATCTTGTGAATGTCCAGCAGACACTTCAAAACTGCAGCTTTTCCTGGAAATAGATTTTTGTAATTCACTAGAAATAGTAACAGATAATCGTAACCACCTTCTCACCTTTGAGGCTCTAATAACGATGCTATCTACAACCATCTTATAACTTTTAAGTTGATTCACAGTCTCAGAACGACAGTAATATGACCATGTCCTTCAGTATCCACATCTATGTGGCTGTGGAGCCTCTGAATGCAGTAGGAATCTCTGCAAGACTAAAGCCTCAAGGCATAGTCATGCATGTAATTCCCTACAGCTGAAGAAGCCCCTTCCCCCAGCTTTTCCACTTCTGAGCTGTGCTGGCCCAAACTTTAGCACAGTCACACAGTGCATCACATTAACAAAAAAAAATATTAAAAAAAAATGAAAAGTAACTTGCAAATAACAAAAAGTTATGCTCCATCATTTAACTGAAGAGAAAACCTGTTTCTCTGTCTGCCTACACAAATACCTGTGTTGGAAAACAAGAAGGTAGGGAACAGACAGCCCACCGCAGGGTCAAGCACGCTGGAGCCACAGCAATTGTGTGATACCCTCGCCTAACAGCTAGCCATTGCCCCAAATTAAGCAGATTTTTTTCCTACTTCTGTTAGCTGCAGAATAATTTTGAAAACTGAGTCCCCAGAAATAAAACGTCACTTCAGGCTCAAGACAGTGCCATTTGACATACAGTTAATAAATGCCAGAAAAGATTAAAAACATCAATGTTTTGTCATCCCACAACCAGAAATCTTTTTGTAGTCCGTTTAATTTTCTTCATATACAACCACTGTTTAGAAAGAAGGGAATTGATTAATGTAACCTGCAATCAGCTGGAATCTCCTCCCTTAGTTTTCCGATGAAAGTTGCTAAAGGGTTAAGTACTGGAACACTAAAAAAAAAAAAAATTATTTTCACTGTTTAATGGGGGGAAAAAAATCCACTTTCAAATAAAAACAGCCACCACTGGAAATGGAATCTAATAACCCTTTCCCAAGAGGCTGGCTCCTCCTAGGCTATGAAACCTGAACATGGATGAAATTACATTTTACAGATAAAAAAAAAAACAGGAAAATATCAGAACTCCCCCTGCTGTTCAAGCACAAAACTTACTTGTTTGTTTTTAACTAACTCCATGCTGAAAAAACATAGAGAATGAAAGTTAAAGGATGTGGAAGATAACAATAAGGAGAAAGAACGCGGAGAGTAAAAAGCCATGGCAAACAGAACTGAAAAATCCCACTGGTTTGGAACAGACCAATTAAAGAAAAGTCAGGAGAGAAAACATAAAATCCCAAATATAACTGATGAACTTTTAGACTGTATCACCAACAATGCTTGTCAAGCCAAGCTTGTCAAACTTGACTATTTTGACTAAAAAGAAGTGTGCTCTTTTAAAAAGGAATGATACATGGAATTAAAATTTTGCTAATTTTTTAAGGTTCTAGCTGTCAAGCTGCCAGCCCGAACCATTTACAACATTCACTACTGTTACTCACCTGCCAAGTAGCAATGTAAATTAGCGACTGTAACACTAATTCTCAATAAAAGTAGTCTTTCTTCAGAAATTGAAGTTTAAGATCATAGTAGCTTAATGGGCCTCTAATCAGAGAGGCTGAAAATCTAGCCTGACTTAATAAAGTAGGGAGCCCTACATACAGGCAAACAGGGAGCACGGCAAACTCTCAAATTTCTGCTTTCACAATATGCCCCTTATACAAACACCCTACAAACAAGAAGTCCTTACACAAAACTGCATTTAACTTCTTACCACAGGAATGAAAAATAAAAGCTGAAAAACAAACAGTATTTAAGCCTTAATGTAGGATATTCCATAACATACAGGTGATTCTTGGCCTATTTCTGCAAAATTCCACACCGTAGGTTCTATCTTTGGATACCTACTTCAGTCTTCAGCTGACAGCTGGTCTTAGCTTTCAGGCTGTGGTTAAGCACTCTGTAGCACTATCACTGATGCTGGCCAAGCACTCTTTGTTGCACTCCTTTGCCTCCCTCTCCCACAGCTCCGTGATGTGCCAGTGCAAGTTCTCGTGAAACCATACAGCGCACTGGATCAGAGAACTGATGAAGCCAAAAGACAAACAGCCTACAGACTTTTTCAGCAGTTATGTCAGCCCAACTCACTGAAAGGTTGTCTATTGAAACAAACCTAACATGTGCTAGTTTTAAAAGACTCACTTCTTTGTAGCCCTACGATTGTCATTTTTTAAAATTCAGTGTATACTGGGACTTAAGAAAGCCATGGAACAGCAGATGAAGCCATGCCAAGGATAACTCATTTAGTTTTCTTCACACAGCTTAAAGAAGCAACCACTTTTAAGTTCAAGGGTGAATAAGAATCATCTACTCTTAAAAGTAGGCACAAGAAACTTTGATAATAATCTCAGGAAAATATAAATTATTTATTTTAAGTCAGTTTTTGCGTATCTTCTGTGTAAAGTTACAGCTCTGCATTATACTGCTCAATAAATACACTGCTTTTTATGTACAGATACTACTTCCTGATTATTCAAAACCACAACTAATTATATTTAAAAGTACAAGTCCAACTTCTGTAATAGAATCAAAACTATTGATCTTCTAAGCTATTAAAGGTGTAGAACTTAAAAGCATATGACTTACAACAGACTGTAATACCCTCTATTTTTTGGTGTGAAGATCTGCATTAGAGGTAAAGGAGAGTAACAACCAACTTCAAACTGGGATATACTGCAAGACAGGGTATCAATCTAAGTACTAACCCATTGTTCTGAGACAAAGGGGTTTTTTTCCTGCCATTAAAAATCATTACACTGCTGCTGGGCAGAGGATGAGTTGCAACTTCAAAGGAAAAGCAGCAGAGTGCCTAAGCAGACAAGGCAAAAATCATAAAAGTCAGAGCCATGTCTGCAGATCACTGGATTCTTCTGGAGTTCATTGCTATGACAGCTGGTAGATGACAGCCCACAACTTTAATTCTACAATCTCAGAAATCCAGTCCTCTTTCCAGAGATTAGTTCAAAAAAGGATACAATTTGATCCCAACTCTGCAATTTGATACTGATTTTACACCATCATGGAATTTTACTAGCTTTGACACTGAATATTTGGAAGCAAAGGAAATTAGTAGTCCCGTCACTCTGTTTTACATTGTTTTACTTCTCCTGCAGACTTCTGTAGGTTTTTCTACATTTTCAAGAAGGAGGAGCACTCATCTCAAACATCTGAACTTCAGTGTCTCATTAAAAAGTGAGAACGGCAGCATTCTTAAGAAGAAAAGAACTCTCACAGACTTTTAAATGAAAACAACCTGGTAATAACTTCCCCAGCTAGGTGACAGTACTATCTGTTTTTAACGGGTAATTGTATCATCCTTATCATCCTAAATCTATTAGTGTTAACTGCCGTACGTAAGAAGCAAAGCATAATTTATGGCATAGAAAAAAGCACAAATGGGTTTTCCCTATCATTAGCTCATAGACAATCACCTCCAAATCAGTATTACACAATGGTAACACGGTGTCAGTGAACAGTGACAGAACCAGCCCACAGCACTGGTTACAGGCCCACTGAAAAGGGCTCCATGTATTAGCATTCAAAAAACACCTTATAAATTTTTGTTAGTCAATTGTGAAACGTGGCATATACATTTTGTTGGAAAAAGCATTGTAGCTGGATGTACCACTGCATTTCATTCCCTCTTTTAATCCTATCCAAAAAACAGATAAATACAGTAGATATCCTAAATCACTACACTGAATTTTGAACAGTTTTGCTGAAGTACTTTAAGTATTATAGATCACTGAAACAGCACATGAAAAAATCTGCTGAGGACCTCAACATTAATCAGCTTAATGCATTCATCTTCCAATTAACACTTTGGCAGGAAGTCTTAATTCAAATTAAAAAGTTTTTCAACCACACACAAGGATCCTCAACAGCTTAAAAATGCAGTTTCCTGTACCTTGGAAGAGATCCATCAACATAGCACTAATATTTTTAAAGTCAAGTCACATAACCTGAGGCATAGGCATTCAGTCCCATCAGAATTCTTTACTATTTTTAAATAAATTAGTTTACAGTGCTTATTATGATCTAAACATTGTATTATACTATGTCTCAGCTTCCACCACCAGCATCCTGAAAATAACCTCAAGCCAGGATGAGGTCAACTCTACATTTTAAACACCAGTCCTCTTGCACCTACATGAAAAGGAATAGTTTTGTGGTATTATTTAATTGAACTCATCATCCTATGTGACAGTCATTTTTACCTAAGCTCATCACACATATATTGCAATAGTACCAAACTGGTGAGGCACCATCTCCAGTAAACAAAGAGCGTAACAGAGTACTTAATGTTACCTGTAACTGCTCTGCTTTGCTCACTGCATAATTTGCTAAGTATTTTGTAAAAGCACTAATTCCTCAAAAGCACGGCTCAACTTCCACTGAAGTTTGAAAGAGAAAACATTTTCACTGAACAACTGTGCCTTGGCAGTACAAGCATTATCTACAAATCTATTTCTTCTAAGAATACACAGGCATACGCTTCCTCCCGACCCCCGCTTCCGATTACAGACAGGTAACACATCCCTTGTGTATCTGTCCCAATTCTTTGGTAGTTGGCTACTTAAAAATCTCAGTGCCTTTCACACTATGCACAGGCCATACCAGTACATACTAACCCCAGGACTTTCACAAGTTAACGTGAACCACCATGACTTCTATCTCTACACTGCTAACTTGCTAATGCCCCTCCCGGCAGATTTATGCCCACATGAAGGAAGTAAGATATTGGTGCTGCTTCCCAGGAGATTATCCCAGCTCACACTCAAGATAGCGACCTCTTCCCCACGGTTAACAGCTCCAGTTGCAACAGGCACACGTTCTCTTCTCTGGAGGCTTGCACGTGCCTTTTCAGCGTTGCAGACTGTTTAGTGGGCACGCTGGTGCTGGGCTGGCAGTTGGACTTGATGATCTTGGAGGTCTTTTCCACCCTAATCGTTCTGTGCCTCTGTGACTCTAAGATCCACAGCCAGCTCTGTGGAGGCAGCCGGTCGCCCCATCCTGCACAGTCTCCCAGGCAACCAGCACAGCACAGACATGCACAGAACGAAGCCAAACCTCCTGCATTTCTTCACTTCTTCCACTGCTTCTCAAGCCATTCTGACCATCAACTAAATAAAGTTGAATTTCTTGTAAAGCTTACAGCTATAAATTTTCTGCAAATCACTCAGGTCACAAAAGCGAGGCCAGTCTATCTCCTGTCCCAGCAGAGCGTGAGCTCGCACCCCTAAACTGCTCCTCCAGAGAAGACGGGGACTTGGCTGTCGGAGCAAGACCATCAGGGGCCACACAGGGAGATCATGATGACAAGAACTACTGGGGCCACTGTGTTTTGGAAGCAGAAGGTAAGTAACTTTTAGCAACCCAAGATATGAACATGGCTGTGTACCACTGCACAACGGAAGGTTTGAAAATTTGTGCTGTTACACAAAAGCTGTCTGGGATAAACGGGGAATATATAAAAAGAAAGTTGCTGCTGAATAAGAATAATTTGCAGTTGTTAAGAGGACAGCTCCGCTCCTGAATGTGAAACAAAACAAAGCTACAAATACGTAGTGTGTAGTTGCTTTTTTATTCTCCAGTTTTAACGAAAATATTTTTAAATTTTTATTTATTTATTTTCCAACAGAATATTTTTCATGGTATTCACCGCTTGGTTTTTTTTATGAACAGCTGTACTCGCCTGTTACTTAGAACTCTCTTACTTTCTTAATAACAAGCAGAGAACTAAGATAACATATGCAAATCAGAGATTTTGGCCTCTGCTCCTAAGAGAGAAAAATTACATAGAAAATACTAAAAGAACAATGATGCAAAACAAGTTTTGATGCTGATACAAACTTGGGATTCCTGTTCTTCCCAGACTACCACTGGACTTACCACAGAGTCATCTCAACCACTTTGCCTTAATCCTACAAAGAACTGTAACACCAAATATGAACCACAAAACTACCCCTTGCCCTCAAATCCGTGAAGAATTCTGTATGGCAATGCTGAACTGGCACACACAACAGAACAGTTTAGGAGTGAGATGGCTAGATGTCAAACGCAGTTATTTTGAACAGGAAAAAAGAAAATAATTAATGGGCTGGCTCAGTCAAAAACACAAAACCAAAAAAACCGCACGTGATTTAATTCTAGAAAAAGAAACTGGCAAGGAGAGCAGGAATTCAACATTAGGGTATGCTTCCTTTCTGTCAAAATCCTAACATCACTGACAGGGTTAAATTAAAACAAGAGTTCTTCCAAACAATCAATCACGCAGGGAGGCTGCCCAGATTTGCAACTGCAGATTCATGATGAACAGAACAGTTGGAACAATTGAAGGCTACGATGCTTTAAAATCTTCCCTTAGATGGAGTCAAAGCATGGATGTTACTAGAAATCCTCCCAATCTTTTTTTTTTATCAGGGTTTCAGTCAGGTAATTAAAGAACACAAAGAACAACAGAAAACCACCGGACTGCTGCTATACTTGTAACAGTAAGTGACCCTGCTTTGAAATAAAAACTTAAGACACCTTTAGAATAAAGTCTAAAAACATTATTGTATCTAATCTAGTGTAACAAAAGCTTCATTAAAATGTTCTTTTCCGACAGAAAAATCTCTTTACAGACAAATGCAGTATAGACAAAAATACTTTAAAAGACCTTTTCCCTAAAGATCTACAAATCATGGTTGAACTATTGCGATTTATCAAGATACAAGATCTGATCAAAGGTTTTTCTAAGGATGAGACGTTCATAACATTTCTTCTGTGTAGATTCTCTGGCACGAATAATACAGCTGAATTTACACCACAACAGCATGTATTATCCGCTGGCTAATAAATGAGTTGCTTCAGGGGCTTCTTCCCAGCAAGGACATTAATTTTGTTCTCTTTTCTCTCCAGCCCCACCGTCACAAAACCACAAGAGGTCCAGAAACGCCAGTATCTATCAAGTCTAAGTGAAACTCGCCAAAGGATTCAAAAGTTACTAAAAACAACCAGACATACAAACAACGTGGCTATATAGGCATCACTTCCAGTCCCTAAAAAACTTACCTAGTTGCAGTATCATGGCTGTATCACTGAAGGCACGTGTCACTAATCCAAAATGTCTGTGCAGGGGATAGCATAGCACTCGTCTTCCAAAAGATACCAGGACGTCATGAATGCTAGTAAAGCTCTGTGTGTATCAGTGAAAAATCTGAATTACTGTGTGCTTTTCAATACAAAGAAGCAGTTTTTTGTTTGTTTGTTTTCCTATAAGGAAAAGTCACAGCAAAATAGAAAAAAGCACATTTTTGTTTATTATGCATCTGAAAAAAAAATTCTGTATTTTAATAGAGATGGAAACGAACATGGTAAACAGAAATAAGACACCGCACATTTAGTTTGCCGGGCAGGAAACAGAAGTCCTATAGACTTCAGTGGTTTTGAATTAAAAAAAGAATGTAGAGAACATTAGAATAAAATATCTAGCTCGAGACTTCGCCATTCTTTAGATTAAAGCAATAAATTACATCTGTCCTACATTATTACATATATTAAGGGGAAGCTATAAAAAGCCTTTTAAGAATAAAGAAAAATTAAAACCACATGATACTAACAAAATACATGTGTACATATAAGATCTTTAAAAGTGATACATGACTGTCTTTCATGAAAATTATAGATATTCAAGACAGGGATAAATATATCTGCCTAGGGAAAGCAGTTCATTGTCCTCCTTTATGAGTGAGGAAGACCTCTAATTTACTGAGGCCAGAGGCGCTAATGAGTTATTAAAGACTTTAAGAGAGTTACTGCCTTTCCAGCTTTCACTTTTCAGGACAAAATATTCCATTTATGAATTCAAATAAAAATACCTATTTCATCTTGAACTCTCAATTTATTAAAATTAATAAAAACGCTTTGCTGCCAGACAGTACTTTTTCGCATTATGAGTACCTCAACCCATTTTTCATTTTAATGGATCGCCAGCAAGCATTTACATCACTTACCTTTTGTTATTTACTGGTTAGAGTCTAAGGTGTGCACATGCCATGCACAGCAAAATGGCAGTCAGTTCAAACAAACCATAGCTGAGGCAATTTTGTTTACAGATTGATGAAAACACCCGCCTCTACACGGTTTGTATAACAGATATAGTTATTAACAGCTTGGTGCCAGGAGACTGAATTTTCTGGGTGTGAAATATAGTGTTGGCACAGGCTGTGCCGAGAACTGCTATATTATAGGATAAGCACATGCAGAAAACTCCTTCGCTATTTAGGATATGGATCTAAAAAAGATTTGAGAGTTAAGGCAATCACTGCATTTTAACTGCACTCCTTTGTGACTTGCTACTGGAGAACACTAAATTAAAACAGATCTAGAAAACCAGTTGTCACAGACCGAGTTACTACTGAATGTAACATTTGCCACTGCTAGAAACTTCTGAGGGACTGAACCCAAAAATCTTGTCAAATTTCATTTTTGATTCTGCAAACAGACTTGGCTCAGTAATTCCAGGAAGGAGGACAGGACAGTCCCTTCTAGCTTGCTGCCACCATAAGAAATAATTGATTACAGGTCAGGTTAAGTCCCTTCCACTTCCAGCTCCGTAACAACTTAACCACACAGGCCCGTGTGCTTTCAGTGAACAACCTGAAAGTGCAGAGAATGGAATTCTGTTTGTTTCCTCTAGTCTATGTGGTTTCAAAGGGCTAGCAGCAACTAAAGTTAATAAGGATGCAGCAGTAACACTGAAAAGGAGGGGGCAGATAAAGCAACACACATGTCCACTGACTAACTCTGCAAGAAACATGAAACAATAGTATTCAGTGCTTGTCTGAAAAAAAAAATAATCACATAATCATTAAAGCCTTAATGAGATAACAGTTTTACAACTACAGAACTGAGGCCTTTTTGCGACAAGAATATAAAATTCAGCTTCAGGCAAGGAAAAAAAAAAACAACGAAATTTTTGATTGAGTTCCAAGAGCTTTTCCTATCGATAACTGGGTTTGCATTTACTTCTGGGCTTCCCTGTTCCACTCTCCAACGTACTCTGAAGCCTCACAGCAGAATGGAGGAGAAGGCAGAAGCCACCTGATGTGCAGCCAAGAAAACAAGCAAGCTATAAGTGCAGAATGATGAACTAGGAAGGCTGAAGAAAGGCTCAGCAGTCAAAACCCCCGAAGTGAACAATAAGCTGCTTTATTAAGGTCTGCCATCTTCAAAAGTTATTAAAACCTATATCTGAGGTAGGACTCAAAAGACACAAAAACACTGAAAAAAATTATCATTCCCGGCTCTTTATGCCCTTTCTATTTTAACATGCTTTAGTGAGTCAAACAGGAAGATGATCTACAACTTCTGACCAAGCAGCTAGAAGGCTGTATTTTCTTGCCCTCATCACACATACACTGAGCAATAATTACAGTTACTTCCTAAATAAAGGTCAGTACTCGTGAATCAAGGCCAGGAGCTAGGGACACTGTGTAGACGAGTAGTTTTTTTGTAGCTCCTATCCTTAAGAGTTTCCAGAATGGGCCAGAAGGCGGCCCAGCACCCAGAGCGATGAGAGGTCAGACTCCAGCCTCTTGAGGCTACTAGCAGCTGGAAGCCCAGAAGTCACGATCAGTTTCTTGCAACATTTATTAAAAAGATGACATAGACTTAATTCATCTTCAACACTGAAAAAGTAAGCTTTCCACAAAAGGAACATACAATACCAAAACCAAATCATCCAGCAAACACATACTGCAAAACTTCGGTTTTAACTCACCTCCAGCCAGCACAACGTTGCACTCAGTTTCCTGACGTTCCAAGATGATTCAACCTGATTTTAAGAGGAGACCATAAAAACAAGTATTATCTAACTCAACATTCAAGACTGCTGGCAAACTATTTAAGATAACATTCTGGCAGCAATCTAAAAACCTTTGTGAATATGAAGCAGTAATTATATTACGTGCATTGAAATGGCCACAGGACAGCATTAAAAATTATATTGCAATGCAGATGTTAAATAACTGAATCGGTTTCCATACTGGGAATATCTAGAGCCCATGCACAAAGCCTTTAAAATATAACAACAATCACAGAAAAACAGTATTTTACTGGAATTCTGTCCCTTTTCACCAAGCAACAGAAACTTGAATCAACAAAGCTCAAGCTAAAATGTCCTATTTCGTGAAAACAGCTCAAGACTTTTGGCTTTCAGAGAGGGTCCTAAAGCCAGCAGTACATGTAAAATGTCATTATTCTTAAAATGTGACAGTTTCATAGTATTTCTGTGGTAGTGTGGTCTAGTGGGATGTTTAGGGCAAAAAGCCAGGAAGCCTTGATCTGTAATCCTGGCTCTAGTAAAGATTTGTGTGGCCTCAATGTCTTGGTTCTCCTATTAAAAAGAAAAAAAAAAAAAAAAAAAAATCACAGTGTGTTTTCTACATATACCATACGCTTATTGCAAAGATCAGTAAAGAATTGTCCAGTTGTGTTTTTCCCCATATTTGCAATTTTGTGCAACACTAACACACAAAACAACCACCATCCCAGATTATTCTGTTGAATAAGCAAGTCTGGACATTTCTGCCCACCATTCTAAAACCCATGCCCTGCAATTCAGTCTGATTAAGACAGAATCATTTTGATTATATGTTCCAATATTTTCATTAAAAGCATTCAGAAAACATCTCATTGATTAATATCGACTGAGGAGATGCTAAGTTGTATCTCTGAAGCAAGTCCATTCTAAAAAGGCAAACTTCCACAGAACAGCATGGAATCTATCCTAAACTTCTGCTATTTTCTTAATTCTCTATATCCTGTAAAAAAACTAGGATACAGAACACAAAATAAAACTGCCTGCTGTTTGTGTAAGAGACAGGCAAACACCAGAATGCTGAAAATGGAAACATGCCTTCCTACTTCCCTCCCGTGTTTGAATACTAGAAAAAGAAAACTCTGCATTAGGATTTATCTTTTAAATGTGTCTCGATTTTTAAAACTTTAAATGTCTTACTCTAGTTTCCAGAATGCCTCAGGAAACACTTTCCATACTCGGTGCATAAGCTTTAAAAAAAAACCAAACACACACAACAACAACAAAAAAAAAACAGCCCCAAAAAATCAGTTTTGTTGAAGGCCTATATAAAACATGAAAGACACAGTTTCACTCCTACAGATTTAATGATTTCCCATGCTTTTTCAGATTCCAAATCACTAGTGGTGTTATTACAGACAACCATACCTAATATGGAACTGTCCAAAAAACTGAAGGAAGAACCATCAATATAAAAGCACAATTGTTTTGTGAAATCTGCATTTACATAAACCAAGACACATCACAACACAGAACAAATCAGAATCAACCAGAATTGTCTGGAGTCTCCTGCAACTCCACTTCTCTCCTACAGCTAAAACGCTGCTCCAGAAGAACAGAAGTATTTAGAAATCGTATTAATCCCTACATGCATGCCAACAGCTCAATCTAGAGATATGAAGCCTAATTTTAACTTTATTATATATTTTTAATGCTTGAAAGTAAGTTCATTTTAAAAGGTAAGTTTCCTAAATGACAATACAGTGTCCAGCACTAGGTTCCTAAAACATACTATATTTTCCTTTTTATGTTTTAACTTACATTCTTGTCTCCTTCATTGACACAGATTTCATAGCAATATGCCAGAAGGATATCAATTAAACCAAGATATACATGATGACGGCTTCTTTTATCCAGAAGATAAGATTTATTTGTGAACTTTCTCATCTGCTCTCTCTCCTCCTCAGAGAAGACAACTATAAAAAGTAAAAGAATAATTGATTATGAATTTAAAGCTGGCGCGTTCGTTTTAATAGGCGGTAATACTACTTCAAGTCTCTTTAAAGAGAGGCATGTAACTCATCACAAGTCACTCATCACTCAAGAAAAAGCCTAAATCATTCTCACTTTCATTTTTAACTTTTATTAAACTCCAATCTACTCCTTTCAAAGTCAAGTTCCAGCCCCACAACGTACTGCATGTGCACACTGGCAATTTTGAACCCCTCTGAAAGTGCCAAGGATCTCTGTGGATGCCTGGGTATCTTATAGAGAGATAAATGCACAATCAGGATCTGAGTAAATTGAAGTTTAAGTTCGCGTTGTATGGGATAAAAAAAACCAAGAAAATGGGGTAACAAAACCAAATGTATTTTCTTATTGTAGAAAAGGGTAAGAACTAAAGAAATAGGGAAGGACCAAAAAAAACCCGAAAGGTATAATTCTGTATTTGCAAGCCTCATTAATTTCAACTCATGACCTAGGCACGATTTAGGAGTATTGCTTATGTGGTCTGGTAACATCCTTCCAGTGTCTGAGGAAGATCAAAGAAAGATCAAAATCCTGTCCCACCAGTGTTGGTGTGAAAGCTGCATCTCCTTCCAAAGAGCTATAGCATGACCATCAGTGACCACCCTATCTGATCTTCAGCGTACCTCACTTTTAGTTAAGAGCGGCTACCCTGAGCCAACCCAACCCATCTTCTCACTCGGTGCTTTCTCTTTGGGATATATGGGAAGACGACAACAACGACATAGCAGGCATGCTGTGACAATGCAGCAAAGTCTTTCTCTAGGAAACAGGGTATAGACACAGATAGCTAAGACTGAATCTTGAATGGTAACCCTTCTGAAGAGTACTTAAAACGCTCCAGAAAGGATAGCAGAATTGGCTTGAAATAACAGTAGACATTAAGGAGATAACTGACTAGAAGCCATCTCTGTACAAACTCAAAGAAAATCAAGAAGCCTTTTAGTACAATTAAAACAGCCAGAAGTCAGAGCCAAGAGATTTTCATCCAGACTGCGTGGAGCACAGGCTCTGATTTACTGAATAGGATAGATGTAGTGAGCACATTTTGGTCACACCACAGAAGAAAGTTACAGGCACAAGGTGACCTGACAGGAGAGAGCAGTGTTAGTAGCTTGACAGCTGATGCCTCATTGCTTTGAGTAAGTCCCACTCCATGATCTGTTCAAGCACCAATAACACTGGAACCAGCCCGAGCTTAAAATACCACGCATCGAAGGGGATTTCTCTGAGGACAGGAACAAGCCTAACGCAGCACTCTTGTTACACTTTCAAAATAAACCCTAACTCCCTGGGGTAAATACATGATGTATCCCTTGACTCATGGAATTTTAATTACTTATTCTAGGGAAGGGAGGAGGACCAAACCCAAAACCTTACAATTAATATTGAAATCTCTCTTCAGTCATTCTTTTACCACCCCTTTTTTGAGTCACTGTGGTCTGGCATACTTAACTGGAGCAGAGAAATGCTGTAAGCAAGATGTACGAACTTAAATGTAAACCAGTTAACACACTAAGATAGGGATGTGATACTGGCTAAGCATTAATATGTTCATCACATCAGTAAAGCACCTGATGAGTCCTTGCAAGCCAGGCAGGCAGCTGGAAAGGATTAGCCTTTGTGGCTCCCTGAGACAGATCCTTGGATATTGCTCAGCCACCAGCTTCATCAGCACTTAACAACTTGACCTGACAAACCGAACAATTCCTGCCCCAACTTGATTCCCTGTCTTTCCAGTTTAGGATTTTGTATCTTCCACATTGGTATCTACCTCTGGAATCCTTGAGCTACTACTGATCCTGGCTCAACAATCCTACCTGCAAGTTTACTGTTCTTATTTCTCTGCAGACTTTCTCACCGTTCGCTCTCAGCAGCACAAGCCAAGGTCATGCAGCTAGGCATAACCCATAATACAGAGCCCTAGAACCTTGGGACACAGACAGCTACATTCCCCAGGAGGCAGGGAAGGGGGGGGTGTTACAGCACAGGTTACAGAAAGAAAAGGTTACAGCTTCTCGTAAACCAGGTTCCTTTTTACACCCCTTGCCCATTTCTCTATCGCAAGGATGATGTTTGCAAGTGTGCTTATAGATGTTTCTCCTCAAATCACTGCTCATCAGCATTTTACACAATCCACATTCTCAGGGATACAAGCTGCCCGCAAGACACGTGGTCGTCTTTATCCCAAGAGCTTTCTACAAGCCTTCTAATTTTATGACATGTTTTGAAACAAACGTTTGTGATGCCAGAGGCACATACATACACACACACACCTCATCAAGACATAAAACTATGAATTAGGGAAAACATTTCTAAATGTTTCTTCTTTATGAACTTTTCAAATGTTCCTATCAACTTCATAACTGTGAAATACTGGATTTAAATTCCTATGGAAACTTCTTGATGAGCTAACCATTCCTCTGGAGTCAAGCCAGTCTCCATTTACTTACAAGCTCCCACAAAAAGAAATTCCAGCTTTTATATCATCTTGAGAGAGCCAATCTCTTCCACTTGCTATGATCTAGTACAAAGTGACAATTTAGCAAGACTACGGCAGCTCTAACTCTGTTTTTCTGCTAATGCAATGCAGTTCAGTACTACCCCTTAAATCACAAATATAGATGATGTATCTATATTCTATCAGCAAATTTCTTTATAAGCTCTTAAATGGCACTGATTCTTCAGCGAGTCACCTCTATCATTCATATTAAAATTATCCATAAAACCATACGTGCAATATTGTAGCACATTTGAAAAAATTAGTTAGTTTCTGAAAAACACAACATAAAACCACTTTGTAGGTTGCTACAGTAGGGTGGGGTTAATGAGGTATCACAACAGGTGTTTACAGTTGGAAGGACTGATTGGAAACAAAAAAAAAGCATTTCCAATTTCAGCTAGTTTTCACCAGAAAACCCTCTCCTGGAGTACACCACAATTGATTATAAAATCATATGCAAGTGGCACTTTCACCTTGAAGAGAAGCACAAAAGAGGAGAGGTGAAACTGAAGCTAAAGATGGAGAAGAAGTGCTGAAAAGCAAGCAGCCAAAAGTTTGCTAGCAAAGACTACTACAGCAGATCAGATTCACAAAGCTTAAAATCACTTCTGATGACTACAATAATAAAGAAGTTTGGTACAAAGCAGCTAAATAATTCCTTGAAAGCAGATGAGAATCTCTCACAGGATACCTGTTAGACAGTTATGCCAGGACTCTTGTATTTCTAGGCCCACCTCATGCTGCTCGCTACGGTTAGCAGCCAAGATGCACACGTACCAGGAACGCAACTGTTCTCCTTCAGAAACTCGTTATATTCAGTACTGGAACCACTACTGAGAATCCACCCTTCTTAATCAGCAACTACAACCTCAAGTTTGTTTTTGTCTCATACCTGATCAAGTTAACTCTCTTATCAGAGGTAAGAAACAGTTGAACACTTACAGCAAAAAAAAAATAATTGACTTTTAAAAGTTTTATTAAGAAGTGTTTGTTAGATTCCCCAAAATCCACATTCTGGAGGAACATGTCAATGTGAACCATACTTCCCTTCTAAGTAGAAAGCAAAGAAACTCCAAGTGAAGTCCATAAAACATAGGAGATAGTTTTCTTCCTCTAACATGCAAACTCTCTGAAGCACTGTAACATACATAACTGAACCATAAACATAGAAATTTCAAGACTAGTAGACAACAGCAAACAAGACAGGCCAGACAATTCCCACAGGTAAATGTTACAAGATGTTCATTAACTCACTGCAAAGTGCCAGGTGTTCCAAATAAAATTTCTCTCTCTGGAGAAAATACTTCAATTTTACAAATAAATATCTACCCATTCCTTAAAGTTTTTGAATAATAAATTATCCAGGCCTGAAACTCAACACATCAAAACCACCACCTCCTTTGTTTTCCCAATTCAAGAATACAAGTACATGGTATACGATTAACAGAACAAGTAAAATCGTAATTACATTTTCTGCTATATTGAGCCTGTACACTTCTGCACACTTGCGTTACCAACGTTTTATCCAACAACATCCGTACAACAATTCATATTAATCTAAAGCAAAGCATCATCTGCTACTACTTACCAAGTACTAAATTTGCAAGGTTTCTTTAGGTTTGATTTTAAAACGTTTTGTACATTTGTCAGTGCCAAAGTCATACTATTTCTAGCCACAGTACAACTGTGTATTAATATATGCACATCTAAAGGATTCAGATTAATTCATCTCACATATAAAGTTAGTTAGATGACACCACAGAGATTACCCTTACTTTTTAATCATCTGCTTTACTATTTTAAACTAGCCATTCCTCATGTTAAAATAAACATATTTCAAATTGCCCTTCAGTACCTGACTGTCAATGAAGTACAGTTTGATCTCGAAAGGGGAAGATGAGGTCTGACAGCTAGAGTGTGTTTTATTACTCATATTTTACCCTGCCGATCACATCACTTAAACCAAGCCAGGGTAAGATCTGTACCTCAAGACTCCTAGGACGTGGTTCTAAATGTGTTCGGGGTGCTCAGACAAAATGTGCCATCTAGACAGACAGCTGACTCGCTGGTCAGACTTCAAAAATTACAGAAAAGTAGAGGTCAGGAAGGACCTCTGATAACCAGCTGGTCTAGCCTTCTGATGAAAGCAGAGCCTTGGCTTATGGTCCTGTCAAGCCAAGTCTTGAATGCCACAGCTATCTCGAAGGAAAATGACTGAGCAGAACTGACCCCTCTTCCCCCCTCCTTATTTTTAACGTTAACTATATTATGCTACGATATTAAGGGGTTTTAAATGTGTACGTAAGGAATCAACAACAGATAAAGGAAGAGATGAGTCAGCAGAGCGCAGATGAGTCAGGAATAGTGTCAGCTATTGATTTTAATCAGTAGCAAACAAGTCACTTCTTTTCAAGCTCTTCCCAACACTTTAGAAGAAGAAAGGCA